GAACCCTGAAACAACCTCTGGGCTGATCTAAGTCAGGGTAGACAGTCTTCTTCTAGTAAGTCTTACCATTTAGTAATGGTGTAGTTGTCCAATACCACTGCAGATCTCTCTCGTGTACTATACCCCGTTACCACAGCAACAGGTCCACTAGCTATCGATGACGATGAAGACTTGGTACTTGATGAAATGCTATCAATTTTTTCCCTAGACTGGCCAGATCTAGTGACTGGTTTGTGGTCTTCTTTACTGGACTGTGAATGGAGGAGTGGGGGGCTGTGTGACGGGGGTAGCTGGGTGTTCAATGGCGTTTGTCTTCTCTTTTCGTTTTCTAATGATTTTTGGACTTCCGGTATCCAGATCCCTGATGTTATTACGCTATGGTTATCAGCTGCCACGTGCTGGTGACCTGGGCCAAAAATAAGAATTGAATGTAGTTTGCGATGATAATAATGATGATAGTGATGGCAATGCTGTTGATGTTGAATCATGATGATGATGATAGTGATGGCAATGCTGTTGTTGATACAGTCGATGATGTTGAAACATAATGATGATGATGAAAGTGTTAACCATTAATAATCATTGCAATGTATCGTCATCATTATTCTACAACACAATCATCATCATCATCATCATTCAGTTTCAACCATTATGGGTAAATAGAAAAATGGAAAATTTCCATCGCATCGAAATATAAACACTGACTTCGAATCGAAACAGTTTCACTTTTCAAAGACCACGTTTTTTATATAGAATCAGTCATTCCCTTTTGGTTTTGCTGATAAAACACTAGATAGTATGGCATGTGGTGTTCACGTGATCATCAAACTGACCTTCTGTCGAGGTACTGCTTTCATTTACGTCTTCTTTGTCATCTTGTGATAGGACTTTTCTTCTTATGTTGACATACAACCACCTGGTTGGTTTCATGTCTGTCAAGGATCCTTTCTTTCAATGATGAAATAATTCTCAAGGTTTCTCTTTCCATCATAGTGCTTTCCAGCATAATGAATAGGACTCAGTGTTGCTTTGCTGATATATCTATTGTGAGTACGGAAAGCGAAATAAAGCGAAGCCCAAACACTCATTCAGTGCGAGCCTAAATTTGTGAATGAAATTAGTTTTATTCGAAGCAGAAAACTAATTACGTGAAGCAAATAAATACGAGGCAAGTGCTCGAGAATTCACCTTTATAGGATTCACATTTTTAAGTTTATGTCCTTATGTAGTTCAGCTCATGACGGCGGTGTATAACCGTAGGAATAATATGTATAGGAATAGAATGATATGTATATAATATTAATAGAATAGAATGTATAGAATGTATAGGAATAATGGAAAATGAAAACCTTAGACTGCAGTGTGAGCAAATCGACAGCCAATGTTACAGTAAGAATTAATATAGCTTAAATAAATTGTCCTTTGGTCGTTTGATACAGAAAAGAATTTTACATTTTATCTAACTCCTGGTCGATCCGTGCCAGGGAACGGCAAAGTCATAGATGGCCGGACCGATATTTAGCGCGTTAGGTATTGCAAGGGAAGGAAATGTAGTGAATGTTCAGTAATGAAGTGAAGAGTCTTGTAAGATAATGGTGTGGTTTTTTTTTTCAACGAGAATTAAATGTTCAGTTTTGAAGTCAAAGGATACGCCTTCCTGAAGTGATCCTGCCTTATCTGTTTTCTCTTGTATTCTACCTCAGGGAACGCCCTTTTTACTCTTGCTGTCAATACCGTATCTCTTAGACACATAATCTTCTCCAAATCAGGAAAAGCAGAGATGTTTTTCTTCACAACAGAGCTTAAAAACTCCACCATTTCAACCCTGTCTACCGATGCCCCAGGATAGACTTCAAATGCTTCGTGAAGGGATGTGATGAGGATGTCATCAAGCTTAATGTAAAGCTCTTTTTTGCTCTGGGTAGTGGGAGTCAGATTCTTGGAGTCTAGAAGAAATAATTGGGATATTTTTCTGGTAAATTATGTTTTCCTAAAACCGAACCAGCTTTGAATTACAAGTAGGCGAAACGATAATAAGTTATGAACTCTGACAGTGAACATAGAAAGTCCATGACATTTAAGTTCAACAAAGGGAAAAAGATTTCACTATTCATTTAACTTTTGCATCCGCTAAGAAGACAAGTTTTCTCCAATCACAGTTTCTTGGGAAACAAGCAGTTTTAAAAATAGAAAGTCAAGTCATTTGTTTCGTTTAGAAAAAGATATCCTAATGACTTGACTTGATACAATATCACTAGATCTTGACTTCAGTGCCATGCATTGCTTGATAAAATGAGCAGACTACATTACTGTGATTCATGATCTGAGCCACAGTGAGTGGCTAACCAATTCCAGGAAATGGAAAAATGCTACGTAGGACCTCTGACACAACAGATTAATGTTGAACTAAGTTGAAAAGAAACTAGATGATCTACATCAATGTTAAGTACTTTCATCCATGTAATTTCCCTGGTATTTTGATTTCAAAAAAATATGAGATTTGCATTCTTTAAAACATTGGACTTTCTATCCAGCCATACTTTGGCAAACTAACCAGCCAATCAGAGAATGAATATTCCTATGATATAACTAATCTAAGGGTCAATACCAGCCAGTATGCTACATGTATGTAGTACTTACATTCTAATTTCTCATTTAATGCCATGTCAAAACGAAGATCAAGCGATGGACCAGGGATGTCATATTCAGAAGAGGGAATAGGCTCTAATCATCAGATATATATAACAAATAAATAATGAATCAAATAAATAGACAAATAAAACGTCTTATATGACATGCAATTACTGTAATTACTCTTTTAAGTGCCACCCCCAATGAAACGAGGCCCTCAAATACGCAACGCACCTAAGACCAAAATTATTACTAAGCGCCTCCCCCGAATAAGCACAGCCCATGAATTAATGCCCCATATGAAACCACAAAAAAATAAATAAACGCCAAGGTGCTTAAATAAAGTATTTTGCATTCTTTATATGTTCGTATTCACTTWGTATAAAATCATTGGTTATGCATTATGCATATAGTAAACATATTTTTGAAATAAGTGCCGCCCTTGAATTAACACCACATATAAAAACCAAAATATTTAATAAGCAACGCAGCAGTTAACAAGTAAATATGACCTTGTTATCTATGGCAACCACACATATGTGAGGATGAGAGGAAGGGAAGTGGGTGGAAGGAGGGATGGCTGGAGTGAGAAAGGGAAGAATGGGTGAGCAGGCTTGTGGTTGGATGGGTGGAGGGAGGGAGGGAGGGAGAGAGGAAAAGAAGGACGACTTGGTAAATGGTTGGATTGCAAGGAGGGAGGCATCTGGCAGGCAAGCAGGAGAAAGGGAGGGAAATGAACAGTCAGGCAGACATCCGTAAGTGATGGAAGAGAGGTTAATGTTTTCATATTTTCAAAGGAATTAATGAAATAAGAAAGCATTRCAGTTCCCATTCAAGGGATCATTGTGTAAAGTATATGAACCAATAAAAATAATCTAAGCTATATAATTATGATTATTGATAACAATATTGTCTGATATAGTACCAATAATTCTACACTCCCAATTCCAATTCCAGTCAAAAATATATGCATTTTCATTACCTTCTGTTTTTACAACTGTTGCTAGACTGTGATCAAGTACTTGCAGAGTATCAGTGCTGTGATCAACAGTCTCCATCATTGCTGGTAATATTATTAGGTGCCTCACCTAGAAAAAACACACAAAAAGAGTCACCAATATTGGTTTCCCTCAGTAATATTAGCATATTACATGCCGCTTGCTTGGATATTTAACTGCTAGCAATAATTGCTGATATAAAAAAACAATCTTTAAACACCTTATTACAATGGTTTTGAGTACTGTAAATCATCTAACAAAGAATAAGCATTGAGTTAAATATCACATAAAGACTCTAGTTTCATTTGTGGATATTATTAAGTACAAGACAGTATGGTTTATGAACTTCAAGGGGTTGATGTTCCAATCATATTTTTTTCAGTAACTTTCAGTTTTAGGTTTCTACAGCTGTATGTCAGCTTGAAGCTTGACAATAATACTGCAATAAACAAGTATAAACTAATGTCTGTGTTTTTAAATAAGATCTTTAATAATCTAGATAGCAGATGAGTTCATTCAAGCAGTAGAGATTCAACTTTTAGATGTATTTTCCCATCACATGTTACACTAATTGTATTTTATGACATGTTTGACGTGTTGACAGCTTCTAATTAAAAAGTAAGGCTTGTTAAAAAAATCTAATAAAAATTTATTTCTTAGAAATTGAGGACAAAAGATAGTTTATCTGAAGATATATTAACCTATCTAACGAGAGAGAGAAAAAAATAAGGAATTGTTTATGCACAGTAAGTAAAAAAAGAAGATATATCAAAGGTTTTATGGGAGGACACATGTATTTTCAGGTTTGAAGTGGTATTTTTCTTGATATATACGTAGTGACTGTCTCAAGAGTTTTCTGAAAAGACTGTCAATTTCTTTAGGATGTAACCAGGAAAATGGGTCATTCATATTATTGATATCTTTCACTTTTTAGCCAATCAGGAATAACCATCCATCAAAAACAAAGTGCATGAGAGTCACGTCACAAAATCTAATAGCAAGTTTGACAAGCTGGATTGATGCCATTGGCTGCTTTGACCTTTGACGTCATTAATTCAATCAGAAAGACAAACACATGCCTCGCTTGTCAGAACATGAGCCAGACATAGTGAGAAACCATTTGCATGTGTGTCTTTTGCTCACACACATCGGGGGAACAACAATATGTAAATCATGAACAGCTAGGTATACGGCGAGACTTATACCGCTTTGAATTACTTCGGGACGATTTTAAAATCAAAAAGTCCAAAAGACTTTTCACTGTTCTGAGACCAAGTGTTTATTAGGGGCTATTTAGTTTTCATAAAGGCAAGCAACGACAGATAAAGCAAGGYGCCAGTGGAACACCACTGTCATAATTAAAAATTCATAAGGAAACTAAAATCCGAGTGAACGAACGGCACCGCTAGCTTGTACTCTTGCCTCGAAAATCCCTCAAAAAGACCCCGTTTGTAAATCACAAAAAATAACATTTTGGTGGTAGCTTATAAGACACAATTTGAAGCGTTTTTATGGCAAGGTTAGAGCTTACTTGTCCTTTCAGATGAAGAATAAGCAGACGACTGCTCGCCAAGTGAGTGTGAATAAGACACACACTCGATTCATATCACTCACCTTTTTCCTTCTTCGCGATAAAATCCCCTTAGATCGTACAAGAAGACTGCACAAACTCTCAATAAAGCTTAAACACTCGATTTACGCATGGATTATGCCAGCTAAAAACGTCGAGATCGAAAAGCAAAGGTGATTTGATCAAGCGGCAGCCAGACAGTGAGCAGACACTTATTTTGCGTCGGTGACAGTCAGTTGATGACACTGAGTTCCCCTGGGACTTGATGCAGAAGGTCTGTCACTCTACAGGGGGAGGGCTAAGGAGATTAATTGTCTCTATCTAAAATAAAAATAGGAACTTTCTTTCTCTTTCTCTTTCGTCTTTTCTTTATTTCACTGCAGAGTTTCTTTATTTACGAAAAAACTCTTGATATTATTTTGCCTGTTTTTTTTCTTGGACACGAATTTATTTGAAAAGTTTTTACGATTCGAGAAAAAATATTCTGCTATTTCCTTCGGTCCCTGATACCCTTATAATATTTTGCTTTTTATCAAAAAAATCGTTTTGAAACTATGTTCTTAATGTGAAGTTGAGCGAGAAAGTTCTCTTCTCTAAGTCACCCCGCCCTTTCCTCGGCCTGATTGGCACCCCTATTTTCCAACGGTTTCTCCCCCTCCCTCCGGCACAGAACAGTCTTTTTTAATGGAGGAAACAATGAATGGTACGTCACAAAAGTTTAGGATCGCTATGGAAATGCCATATTAAAACTCGTCCAGCGATCGCTGAAACGATCAAGGGAAAAAAGCAGGCACGCTTCATATTCAGAAACACCTATTTCATATCTACCTTTCGATTAATCAATATTGATGACCTTTTGTTTCACTACAGATTATCAATTAGTCTCCTCCGATCCGCAGCTAGAGTGCAGTCAAACTGCTGAATAGTCTAGTTAGATAATCTATTTCTAAATGTATCTAACTCGGATAACTATTTAGTTGACGTCACCTAAAATAGTAAAAGCGCGCCAAATAACGGTCATGCTAATCCTGGGGGTTGTTTTGCCAGAGAATGAATCTCAGTACCTGTTTACTCGTAGTTTCAAATTTAAGTGAAGTCAGCTAAAATAGTAGCTAAGGCTGCGCTCATGGAAAAAGGGGGGATGGGCAAATATTCATCAGAAAAATGGGGGGATGCACAATTTTCGGGAAGAAGCTACAAGCCTTGCTTAGGGGGGATCGTATTTTTTGCATGACTTTAAGGGGGGTGTTGAGAATAATTCTGGACAATTCAAATTTTCACNCCCCCCCCCCCTCCTCTGTCATACATTATGAACGCAGCCTAACTTATCTAATTTAGGCGACGTCAACTATTCAACAGTTTGACTGAATGCACTCTATTCATCAGTTTGACTGAAAGCACTCTAATGACGGCTGCGAAGGAGAATAACAAATATTTAGCAATTATTCGCAGAAGGCGAAGTGAATATCGGGGAATATTTACCAAGACGCGAGTCTTCAAGCGGCGAGGTAAATATTCTCCATATTCACTGACTCTGAAGCGAATAATTGTTTTAGCATATACCAACTTGTGTACAGAGTAACTTATTCTTATATACAATAATGCAATAAAAACAAACAAACAGAAACTTTTAGTTTGCGAGACAAATTCACGCAAACTTTTAGGCCATACTTCGTTGCCTTTTTAGTATTGATAGGGATGGCATTTTTTTTTCATTTTTTCAATTTCCTCATCGGAAATTGTAGCAAAACGATTGCTGGCAGATGCCATTTTGTTGCCGATTCAATATTCCGAGATTCAGAGGTGAATATCGTACAATATTCACCTCCAATTAAYCAATGAGCGCGCGCTTTCTTAGGAAGTACACAAGTTGGTATATGCTAAGAATTATCGTAGAATGATAAGTTATACACCGTAGTGAAAATAGTAACTGACGTTTCGGACGTTAGTAAAGGTATATACGTTAGTTAAGGTATATGCTAAGGGTCATCAGTTCACGAATTTGCTAGATGTGATCCTATTGGGGCACACATGTGTAGAACAATAGAAAACAATGACCTTTCCCCAACCCCGCCCCTAAACCTAACCAATCACTGAGGTGGGCTTCCTGTGCATACAATCTGCTACATACTGTATCACGGTAGCTAGGTGCAATGTCGTACTATCACAGCCACTGGAGAGATTTAGACGTGAGTATTTCATTCCTAGTCAAAAATACTTCCATAAATCCCAACATTTAGAGTTTCACATGATTGCAAATACAAGTATTGATCGAAGTTAATATCATCTCTTGAGGTGAATAAAAAAAATTTAACGTTGATAATCACATTGCCTAATTATAGCCTTGATCGAATGTGGGTAGATCGAATTAGAGTCATTTACCTCTCTTTTCACTGCTACGCGCTGATCGAGACAACAGTTGCAACAGGGGAATAGGGCAATACACTGCCGCCAATCAGAGAATATAAAGGAGCCGAGCAATTGACGAAAGTGTGTTGTCTCGATCAGCACGTAGCAACCTCCAAGAATGTACTTAATATTAGTTCTTTCGACTTTAATAGAAGTGAAAGTATTAAAGCAACTGTAATATTTTAAGCTTAAGCTTAAAAAAATAATTTTGATTTTCACTGAAATTATAACCAATCATAATGTCATGTTTTTAGATCAACAAGGGCGGATCCAGGGGGGCAAAGGGGGGCTGAAGGCCCCCCCCCCCTTCAGCAGAAAAAACACAAAACAAAAGTGAAGAATTAGATGCTTTTTATCGTTTTCCGTTGCATTGTGTTGACAGAAGGAGCTCAATTAGCCCCCCCCCCTAAACTCAATTAACCACCCCCTAAAATTTTGGCTGGATCCTCCCTTGATTAATCTGTATGCAATAAAATAGTTAAAGTAATAATATGTATGTAAGCTTATATCCAGTTATTTATTTGTGATCGTGATTGTGTTGAGTTATTCAGGCATGGAAGAAAGAAGGTCTCATCTTCTCTACTCCAAGTAATGAAGCAGCCAAGCTATATGATGGAGCTTTGACACAGGTGCATGGAATTAACTGCTATCGTATAGTCCAAGTCCCCTGCATTTGGACCAATTCACCAATTCATTTTTTGTTTGCATTGCTACGCGGCCACCCCAGACAAAAATTGCAATGTGCCTTTTGCAATAGACTGCCGTCAATCAAACACGTTGACGTCATTTACACACGTATATGATTCAAAAGGTGCCAAAACTTGTGGATTGTTTACAAGTATTATGAGCCACACTCACCAGGCCTATCCGGGCCGATCCAAACGCGTGTAAATGACGTCAACGTGTTTGATTGACGGCAGTCTATTGCAAAGTGCATGTCGCGATTTTTGTCTGGGGTGGCTGCGTAGCAATGCAAATATAAAATGGTGGTAAAAAATATAACCATGAAATGCAACCAATATACAGCCAGCATGTATAGCTGGTTTTTATAATTATTAATACTGTTTTTAACAGATTGTGCAGTACTATACCGATGAGAGTTTGGGAGGTCTAGATAACACTATTCAAAATATCATTAAGGCTGATCCAAACTTTGGTAAGTCAATGTCCTACTCATATGGAGACAAGTTGTTTCCAACAAATTTTTCGGGAGCTCAACCACATTGCACTTGATTAGAATTTTCTGTTTTTTATTTTGGACAGCCAATACAATGACATTGATATCTCTCTTATAAATTGACAGCTGTTTTTTTTTAACTTTTCATGAATGAATATGATGACTGATTAGTGATGGGATACGTGTTAAAGAATGGTATGAAACTCATGTCTACCTACAGTGATGTTGATACCAACCCTGAACTGAAACAAGGCATAGATCATATGATGAGTATTGTTGCTAAGGGCAACATTACTGAACGCGAAAAACGACATGCGCTGGCTTTCAAGGAGTGGTCTGAAGGGTAAGTAATGTACCTAACTACTGTACAAGTAGACCAAGCATAATTTTTTGGATGCAAGAATATTCATATTAATATAGGTTTGTACCAGAAATCTGTGAAAAAAATTTGTATAAGGAGAAAAAGTTGGCTCACTTCCTAGGATTGAATGAAAAATACTAGCAGCCTTATATTTTTCAGAATAAAAGAATTACATTTAGGATTTCTATCACTCTCATCTAAAATACCATGCATGTCAACCAATCACAGTTCATCAATGAAAAATGTTATCTTTTTTAGAACTTTGTTATCTTTATAAAACTTCATCATTTTATTTTTATATATTCTTACTCTGATTGGTTAAGAACTGTGCTTTATGTAATGTTTAATAAACGAGCAGGAGTGTTTTATCGGGTATAAAACACGAGGCGCAGCCGAGTGGTTTTAGACCCGATAAACCACGATCTGCGAGATTATTGAACGGCTTAGAAAACTTATGATGTTTGTTCTCATTGTGTACCGATTTTTTTACGAAATGAACCAACTTTGATAGAGAAAATCCAAGTTAAAGTTTATGCAAATGAAGACGAATCTTTATCAGATATAAAATCACCTTCATGGTCATGATTTCTATTGTGTTTTCTTCATGAATTATTAATGAGTTTTCTAATAGTTAATAGTGCATGAGTTACTAATTCCAGCTGAGAATGCAACACCAAGTTTTCAAAGAAAATGTAAGAAAACAGCATTGAAGGATGGTTTTTCATTTCTTTCTACCAAMTAAAACAGTGTCACTTTTTAAATGCTTTTTTAAACTCAGAAATACAGCAAAGGCATGCCTAATCTGGGAAGATATTTTAACAGACCATCCTACAGACATGTTTGCATTGAAGATGTGTTATGGCACCTACATATATATTGGCATGTATCCTCAGTTGAGAGATTCCGTGGCTAGAGTGTTCCCTGCATGGAAACCAGAACTTCCATTCTACTCGTAAGTTAGTCAAAGTTGAGCTCACCTTTATATTATCTTCTGTATACAGTACCATGTGACCAGAGATTATCTGCCAAAACAAAGGGCAGAAAAAGATCTTTAAGCATTAAAGCATGACTTAATACTAAATATTTGAATATTACAATCATATTAATATTTTTWAATTATATTTTTCTTACACCATCTCCTTCCCATTTTTTGATGTCTTACATTAATACTGAGTACTGATTATGGGCATCTAATGGACAGACTATGACAAACAGGGGTTGTAAATGGGGTAACTGGTTACCTCTTTTCCTCTAATTCTTGGTGAAACCTGGCTTTATGATAGTCACCCCCTTCTAAAATTCCTAGATCTGCCCCTGACATTTGAAGATGTTTCAAGGCATCAAGACCTTGTGTCATTTGAAGACTGACCCTAGAGTAGCAAATACAGAAGTTTTTTTAAAAACTCACTTTCTTTGCATAAAATTTCAATGAATTTTGCTATATAAGGTACTTGCATGGTATGTATGCATTTGGTCTGGAGGAAACTGGGTTCTACCATGATGCAGAGAAACATGCAATCAAGGTACGTACAGTTGTATCAAAGTATATAAGAGTTGGACTATGGATCTTGAAGTGAAAGAATGTCATGACACTGCAGTCTTATTATGTCTTGTTCTGCAGGGCCTTGAATTGAATCCACATGACTGCTGGGCAACTCATACGCGGGCTCACATATTTGAGACAACAGGAAGACAAGATGAAGGCATTGATTTTATGTGTAAAACAGAGAAAGACTGGACTGTAAGTACTTCATGTTTGTATAGGTTGATCTCCTGTACCACTCTCCTCTCCTCTTCTCCCTCACCCCCTTCTTGTTTCTAAGTGTGCAACCATTTTCATTCAAACAGGTTTAATAGAGATCACTAACTCTGATTCGACTATTGACTCCCACAAAGCTTCCTTTTATACTTAATTATTTCCATAATTATTCAGCCCAGACAACTAGGTATATTTCAAGATGTCTACGCCTTTAACTTCCAATAGTCAAAGTCAGTGTTTTTTGATTGATGGAAGACATACCCAGATGTCTAAACCTATATTGGCCGCCTAATAATAAGCATTATTCTAACACATTGCCAGTGTAAGATTTTTGTTTGATAATGTGTAAGTATTGACCAATGACTTGTCTGCACAGGTTGGTAAATCACTTGCAGGGCATAACTACTGGCACTTGTCATTGTATCACATTGAAAAGGTTGGTTTTTATAACTCTTTTCTCCTCCTTCCTCTCCCCCTCCCCCTCCGACGTCCTATTTGTCTTCCTTGTCTTCTATTTTTCTCCTTGTGTCATCATATTTTTGTCTAACACTGTTTTAGCGCTACTTAATTTTTGCGGGTTTTTTTCACTTTTGATGGAGAAATACTCAAAGCAGCCAGGCTTCTTCCATCGTTCTGTCACCAAAGCAATTATTAGACGCTCGGTCATGGGTCTCTGATTTTTGTCAAACTGTTGGAAATTTGAAGACTTGACGAAATAGATTCTGACGTACCACTTTAGCAATCAAAGAGGAAAGAATGGGCTTACGATATCGATATACTGAGTGCACGCGGATAAACCCTTCATTTCTATTCTTTGACGCCATARGGTGATTATGAGACTGCTTTGAGCTTGTTTGACAGTGAAGTTGGTCGGAGGGTTGGCACGAACACCATGTTTGAGATGCTTAATGCCTCGTCCTTACTGTACAGATTACAGATGGAAGGTGAGATTGTTTAGATAGTGTTAAAGAAATACTAACACGAGAGAAGTGTTAGTAGAAGTATAACACGTAGTGGAATGCTTCTCAACAGTTGTCGAGTGACGTTCTGCTAATAACCCCCAAGTATAGAGATCCCCGGGATAGAGATGATTCAACTGAAAGTGCGTGTTAATCCTGTGCACTCTCATAAAGCACGCGCTCCCAACACCTCAGAACACAAGATTCACAATGTAGAGAAATGCCAGCAAGAGAGTTATAGTTACGCTAGGGACTCGTACCCTGTGGTAGGGTCGTGATAGGGATCACCAAGGCATGTCTGGAACTCGGACCCTGTACTGCTTACAGAGATAGGATAGATCCAGTGGATAGTAAGTGGATTATTACTTGCTTGCCTTTAGGGGATGTTGCACGAGACGGTTTTTAATGCAACGTTGTTGCGTTAAAAGTTGCCTCGTGTAACCTGCCGCGTGCAGAAACACAAATTGATGACAACAAAGTTGTGAGTTTTGAAGGTTATTCAAAAACCTGCAACATAATTGCCGCAACAAAATATCGTTAATATCGTAACCTCAAGCCATTGATGTTACGCGAGAACACCTTGTTTTACTCATAAAGACATTCGTAGTTGACGGATTACAATGCTTTTGTGCTTAGTTGTATGCAACTGTTAAAAACGGTGCTTTTTAAAACGACCTGGAGAAAAACACTTGAGGAGAACTACCAAATGTTCCCTTTCTTGCGCAAGCTGCTCCCTTCTCTCTCACTACGGATCTCACCTAACTGTGGCCACACGCCAAAAATTTGTCTCACTACCACACCCTAATTTGTCTACTGACACGCCTACTTTTGTTACAGCAGTGCGTGTATTTACAGTGAATTTACAGTTTATTTTGAATTGTCGCCACAGTTCGGTGAGATCCGTAGTATGTGCTTCCCAAGGATACCTGGCTTCATTTTGATGTTGATCGTCGTTATTTTCCCTTGTCAGGTGTTAACGTGGGAGATAGATGGACAACACTGATGAATTACTGGCAGCCACATATTGAGGACCAGATTTGGGTAAGATAAATGACTAAACACGGTTGTGACACGGCAAGGGATACGCCAGACAAATCATATTGCTCGAGAGTTTACTCTCCATCCAATCGAATACCCAGAACACGGCATAAGCACGACACGGACAGGGTCACGCCAAGGTCACGACACTTTCAGACCAATCACATTGCGCGATAAAAAAAAGTCAGCCAATTAAAATACTAGAAAACATCACGGTCACGGCAAGGCACACATACGGCACTGTGCTTTTCACAGTCATGCGAAAACTGCTCTAGCATGTAATGAGGTCCATAACAGCAGTGTTTGTTGATTTAGCAAATTAAAGCGACAAATGTTGTATTTCTTTTGTTACATTTAACATGGGCAAATTCAATGCGAAGAAATGTTTAGTCCAAAGAATCAACCTTGTTTTAGCTTGCTGCTTGTTAAGTTCTGTTAACGATCTGTAGATATTCCAAGATGTTCATATGATGATGTGTACGCTGGGTGCCAAGCGTCAAGATTTAACCTTGAAACTACTGGAATCATTGAGGAACTACGTCAGGTGAGGAGACCGGCCGCATTAGATAATCAGCTATGATCTGTGTATAGTATGGTTAGGTAAATGACAAGATAGACTCAGAACTATATTCGATTCCTCCTCGTTTTTTCCTGACAGAGATGGAACTGGAACGAACTGTGAAGTGACACGTGAGGTTGGAGTACCGCTTTGTGAGGCATTCGAACTTGCAGATAAGGTAGTCAATAAACAACATCAATAAACCTCCCGTCCCTACCCTTACTAACGGCAATAAACGAATCTCCCGTCCCTACCCTTACTAACGGCAATAAACGAATCTCCCGTCCCTACCCCTAATAACGTCAATAAACGAATCTCCCGTCCCTACCCTTACTAACGTCAATAAACTAATCTCCCGTCCCTACCCTTACTAACGTCAATAAACGAAAATCCCGTCCCTACCCTTACTAACGTCAATAAACGAATATCCCGTCCCTACCCTTACTAACGTCAATAA